TTTTTTTTATATTATTTATTTTCTACTTTTTAGTCCTGTCTGAATAAAATTTTGCAATAGATATTAAAATAATTCAACGATATTAATAGAAAGGTGCACACACATGCATTTACATATGTATGTACATACAAACGAGCACCAATTAATTTTATTTAAAGAAATGGCGTGTCGTCTATTTCCGCTGTAGCAAACGTAGTACATAGGGCGACATCTAGATGTCATCTACCTCGCCCTATTCACTACTTTCAAAGCTTTGCTTTGGTGTCGGACACACAACATTGAAAGTTTCTGGATCCACAACATTGAAAGTTTCTGGACACACAACATTGCAAGTTGATAAAAGCGTTGTAATGTAATAAAAAGTAAAAAGATATCTCCATGGCTTTTCTTCAAGTGGTATAATCTTTTTCACAAAATCAAGAATCAATTATCTCGATTCTTTTTATTTAAATTTTTATTTAAAATCCAATAAAAGAAAAAGCTAAAAATATAAAATGAAAATAAAAACCATATTGCGCTGACCTGTCCTCTATTAAGTAAAAATACGCAGCAGCCAGCCAAACAATTTCGTCATTTAGAAGATTTATTTACGGGCTTTAATGTAGCATTAGATGTTGTGCATACCTTTACTATAATGTAGAAAAGCCATTCCTCATTATTAACTCAGTTTTCTGCGAAAGTTACAGTCTTCAATAAAGAGATCGTTTAAAAGGAATATACAACCAAGGAACTTGACTTTTTATTAAGCGCCGAGTTTATAGCGCGTAGTTATGTGAATCATTGTTAACTCTTCCCCGATTTGATTTTAATTTTTTGGTTTACTGGTCTTGAAAGATTGAATAATGATTGCATTAATTTGCAAAAAAGTAATGACTGTGGCGTTTTACCATTATTACTCATGTACATACAATTTTCTTCTGAATCTAAATATGAAGTCCAAATATTAACAAGTAATTTTTAGCAAAAAAAAACGACTTAAAAAAAATATATATATCTATATATATTTCATGATCCAAAAATCGGATCTAAACCAGACACTACCTTTCCGATGCAAAAAGAATTATCGAAATCGGTCGACGTGGTCCAAAACTATGCGGTAACATACATAAAAAAAATATTCCGACGAACTGATAACCTTTTTCTTTTTTGGAAGTCGGTTAAAATAATTTACAATTTTTATAAATTATAGATAATTGGGTCAGGCAGACTTTTTTCACGTGCGGGCTAGCGCTTCATCAAGAGTTGCCTTCTACTCGCACCGGGCATATTATAGCCCAGTGCCTAAACCTGTATGTCAGAAAAGGCCTAGCTCAAAGTTTTGCTCCCGGGTGATCTCCGGGATCTAAATCCGCTATGAGAAAACTTCCGCGATAAATTAGAATTGGGCAGATAGTCAATTTTGGTTTTGCCACCGTTTAAGAAGCTTCCTCTTTCTTGGAGCAGAAGTTTTCTTGCGAATGTACTACAATTTTCATATTTTCATAACTTCATAACTTTCATAATTTCGAAACGTGGTGATTTTTATTTAGAAATCGGCCTTTTACAAAAGGGTTGGTTGGAGTGGTCCTAAGGTTTTAGTAGATTTTGTGTAAGCATTTTGGTAGACAAAATTTCGGATGCGGAAACACTGACTACTTGGGCTTTACGATTATAAACCATAAAAACTTTTAGAACGAGAATGAAAGTTTAATACGAGCCTTAATTTTGTGTTTCTGTAAAATACTATAATGCCATCACCCGCTTCTTTGAGTGTACATATGAAATTTCTGCGTTCTAAATTAGGTGTAATTTGTCATCCAAATGTACATACATATGTATTTGAATAACCTGATTCCCATAATTCAAGTTGAGTTTGATTTTTAAACAGAATAAAAGCCTTTTCAAGCACATTTCGATTTATACCCCAATTGTAATGATTCATTTACCTTATTAAATAATTTTAATCAAGTTTGGTTTAAAACAGTTGGCAACCCTTTTCAAATACCTCGGAAAATTTTACATGTTCAAACTGAAGATGTCTAAACAATCTGGCGCTTGACACTTCAACTTGTGTATAATTTTATTAAATTCGACTTTTCAAACAGGTGGCAACCCTTTTCAATTTTTTTTGAACCACAATCCTTTTAAGTCTCTTTAGTCTAACGCCCATATTTTAATAAAAATAAATAAATGATTCCTATAATTAAAGTTGAACTTGATTTTATAAACATGCCAACATCCATGAGTATGGAACTGATTGTATATTCTTATATCCATACCAAATTCCAGTGCCCTACTACAAATATCTTCTTGCTGAAATATGCAGTATGAAAAATTCTGTGCCCCTTGCTAATCGAGATAAGGCTAGCCTATGTTTTGAGTTGGGCTTAGTGACATCAGTGTGTAAAACTTTATGATTATCGAATGAGCAGTTAAAGCGTGAAAGCGTAACAAACAAACAAACTCACTTTTGAATTTATAATATTAGTAGATAAGTAAGAAAGGATTGTATTTTCCGACTGATTCACTGACTTAAAATCTGCTTCTGATTGTTTCTTGCAGCGATTAAACTTCTAACTACTCACTTTTTCCAACTGGGATTTTAGCTTTGAATAAAA